GGGGGGAGGCTGGGAAGGGATGTGAAGGATAAACAAAGGAGGAGGCTGCAATGCTTGGAAAGAAATGTGTGCATTATCCTGCCCATGTAATTGTAACCCCTCTGTACAGTATGTTCACAAATAAAATAAAATAAATTAAAAAAAATAAAAGATGACTCTGTGATTCTTGCCTGAACTAGGAGTCATGTGGTGAACATCAGCAAGGGTGGAGGGAAGAAAGGAAAGTGTCAGGCTGCCATGACTACAGCAATGCAAATTACGGGTTTGTCCTTAGTTAAACTGACTTTGAGGCATTTGAGTTGCCATGATCTGAAAGCAAGTGGGAGGTTCAAGATAAAAACCAAAGTAATATAGGCAGGCACTGGTGACTTATGCCTATAATCCTAGTGACTGAGGAGACTGAGACCTGAGGATCTTAGTCTGGTCAGAAAAGTCTGAAGATTCTTATCTTGAGTAGAGCTGTGGCTCAAGTGTTAGAACACAAGTCTTGAGTGAAAAAGCTAAGAAACAGTGCCCAGGTCCTGGGTTCAAGCCTTACTAACAACACACACACACACACACACACACACACACACACACACACACATGTTAAGGCATTAAGGCATATATTTGACATATTTGAGCATATAGTTAACGTTGGAAATCATGATTAGGGCTAGATTTCCTAGAGTCAAGATAAAGAAGAAGGAATGAACATCTAGGATTGAGCGTGAATGTTCTCAGGCTTCTCACTCCAGTCCTCTGTACCTTGGACAGACCTCTACCTACAATACACCACACATTCTTTTGCTAGGCCTGGCAGCCAAAATTCCATGCCTGGTTCTCTCACGATCTTCTCTGGACTAGACTCTGGAGTGTGGTACAAGGGAAATTCCAACCTTTCTACCACAATAACTAAGAAAGCTATGTCCCAGCACTAGTTCCTGAGAAAGTCTGTTTTTAATTTTAGGAAGAGAAGCTCTGTTGATTCCACTTTTGCTACCTGGCCATGTCCTTTTCTCTACATATTACAAGATAATTTCCTCAGTAGCACAGTAATGAGTGCAGAGATCCAAATTTTCTGTAGACCAAGGGAATTATCAGTCCAGATTAATAATGGATAGCTTGTAAATATGAAATAATAAATGTATCACTGGCAGAAAATAACACCCTAAGCACCTTGAGGGAAACACATTTTGAGTCATGCACTTTGGAATCTTAGAGCTGTGTATGACAGATCACAAACAGTAACTTTGTGGAACAATCTATTTATTGTTCCTACAAACCATAGGACAAATATATTGAGACCTGAGGAAAACTGTACAAAGACATACAGAGGGGTATTTGAACTACTTCCTGAGAACATCCGATGCTAACAACACAGCCTAAAATGCTTAATGAACTCTCTTTAGTTTGAGTCAAAATGAAATTACACTTGTTCAGGTGAATTGTGCCCTCAAATACCTAGCAAAACACCTCTGCTGTTTATCACAGACCTACCTCCACATTGTTTGCCTCATACAGGGCCACCAGGGGCACTGGGCCAATCCAGAGTTTAAGCAGAGGCTCATTTCGGTATTCCTCTGTGTACTCCATAATCTGCTGGAAAAAAGCTAAAAAAGAAGTATTGTATTTTTAATTCAATCCAGACATTTTACATAGTGCTGTGCAAATATTCATTATTTCTCTTTTGTATATGTTTTTAATTGTAAAGATACTGTACAGAGGGGTTACAGTTCCATGAATGGGGTAATGAGTACATTTCCTATTAAGCATTGTTACTTCCTCCTTTGTTTTTCCCCTACCATCCCTTCCCTCCCCATCTTCCAGACTCCTCCTTCCCCGCCCCCCACCACCACCAAAGTTGTAAAGATCGTCTTGTACAGCTCATTGTTACAATGGGTCAACCTGTATCCTTATTTCAGCATTTTGTTATTTTTTCTTCCCCTCCCCAAATTAGAAAAATGTATATCCCAGATGCAGGGCACCGGAATCAAGTGAAAACATAGGTTATACCATGGGGGAAATTTTTAAAGGAAATTTTTAAAAATCACACAGTACATTGTAAATACGTTAAAAACAATATTTCTATAAATATAGTAACTATGGGAATTATCACCGTTAAAGCAAGCTCCAGTGAGGATCGATTTAAACTCCTTGCACTACTTTTTTTTAATTCTTCTGTACTTCTAAAAAACTATTTCAAAATATGTATTACCACAGATATAAATGTAAAACAATGATGTCAGCTATATAGAATAATTATTCTTAGGTTCTGATGTGCCAAAATCTGCAGTCAAAAAAAATGACTGCCCAAGTCTGGGATGGTGGTACATGCTTATAATCCCAGTTACATAGAAGGTACAAGTAAGAGGATCATAGACTGAGGTTAGAACCTGGGAGGAAGAGCATGTGAGATCCTATCTGAAAAATAAGCAAAAAAGCAAAAATATTAAAAATAAAGTAAGTATGGCTGAATGGTAGAGAGCTTTCCCAGCAACTGTACACATGAAGCCCTGAACTCAATCAACAGTACCAGAAAAAGCAAATAAGCAAAATGCATTACCTTGTGCCACCAAGTTAGTATACAGTGGAACTTGGCATTGTACCAAAACTCTAGAACATAGTATCACTGCTTAGATAAAAAAAAAATGACAAAATTATTGTGAAAGCACCTGGATAAAATATTATCAGGATATCAACACATCCTACTTCATGTGGTCTGCCTTGATCTGGTCTGACAAAGGTCAGAGCAGTCTAAATGTTGTTTAAAGCTATCGGGGCCAACAGCTGGGAGTAGCTGGGGAAGGAAAGTATTAATTCAAAAGTTTGGGGAATCAGAGTGCAAGTTCAAAGATCAACTGGAAGTCCTGTGCAAAATACTCAAGGTCCCATGACTAATGTCAGAATCCAGACATTACCCACTGAATGAAAGGTTTAGCCTTTTGTACTGAAGTAGCATTGCTTAGAGGATGGATAATATAGAGCTGGGAAGGTGGCTCAGTGGTAGAGTGCTTGCTTTGCATGCACGAGGCCTTGGGTTCGATTCCTCAGCACTACATAAGCAGAAAAAGCTGGAAGTGGCGCTGTAGTTCAAGCTGTAGAGCGCTAGCCTTAAGCTGAAGAGCTGAGGGACAGCACCCAGGCCCAGAGTTCAGGCCCCACACCCAACAAAAAAGAAGAGGAAGAGGAGGAGGAGGAGGAGGAGGAGGAGGAGAAGGGATAATATCTTACATATTTCTCCTATCCTCAACTTAGTTGAGCTCAGCACTCGGCATAAAGAAGGACCTCAGTGAATGCTTCATTGGCATTACAGGGCTTATTCTTGTCAAGTTCTACACAGTGATCTAAAAACTTTGTGTGAATTAATATGATTCTTTAAAAAAAAAGCTTTTGAAATAGAATTACCTTCTCTTTCTTTTCTTTTCTTTTTTTTTTTTGTGGGAGTGCTAGGGCATAAAGTCAGGGCCTGGGCACCATCCTGAGCTTTGCACTTCAAGACTAGCACTCTGCCACTTGAGGCAAGCTCCATTTCTGGCTTTTTGGTGGTTAGTTGGAGGTAAGAGCCTCACAGACTTTCCTGTCTGGGCTGGCTTTTAATTATGTTCCTTAGATCTCAGCCTCCTGAGTAGCTAGAATTACAGGCATAAGCCATCAGTGGCTGGCAAGAGTTACGTTTACAAGTGAGAAAAATAGCCTTAAACTTATGAGAGTTTTAAATATCTACTCAGGTAACTCAGCTATAAAGCTGGAAATCGAGCAGCAATTTTCTTGCTATCAAAATCCAATTTGCATTGCTGAAACAAAAAAAATCAAGTTGTGGAAGAGGACTCTGCGGTCATCACTTGGTAAGTCACAACAAGGAGAATTACCTTGAACAGTCCAATGAGCTCACAGCTTACCTTAATACTGATCCTCCTTATTAACTAAATGGTTTAATTTGTGGAATCCCGGAAAGAATTGTGTGACAAGACTTTCCCATTGTAAAGGCATGGATAGGAAAGAGATTCGCAGGTGTGAGCTATAATTCCCAAAGAAAACATCCTAATTCTCTAATTCTGTAGGTTTAAATCCTAAAAAATCAAAACACAGTATAGCTGGAAAACATATCTGGAAAAAAATTATATAAAAATTCCTTGAAGGACCTAAGAAAGTGCTCTGTGACTAGAGACTGTGACCAGGTTTGGATTTAAAACCTTTATTTCATACTGCTCATTAAAGACCTATAGATTATAATTAAAAACAAGGTCTTTAAAGTATTTACGTTTATTTTAAAAGGAATTTTCTTGAAAAAAAACATATAAGACCACAGAGGACCATTTCATAGGCCATCTTGCCCAATAAAATAATAACGTACACATGTTTGCAATCATAAATACTCAGGTATATTGACAAGAGTCCGGTGCCTCTAACAGCTATGGATGGAAACTCTATTCATAAAACTATATTCAAAAGGTAAAATATATACACATATGTCACTATTATTAGAGATTCTGTGCGTACTTCTTCCTAACCATAGACATAGGAAATACTATGGCAGAAAACTTAAGTGACATGATACAATGTATCAAAACCCACAATGATGGTCGCTGCATGTGCAGATAGCTGTCCAAAACGCTGAAAAAGGT